GCTCAAGTACTGTGGTCCCTGCCGCCCGCCTGGAAGACCTGGAGAAAGCTGCATGCTCCTGCTTTCTGGCTTCCCACATGAGCAGCAGGGCCCAGGTACTGGGACTGATTTCCTCTGCTTTCTCAGGTGCATTAGCCGGGAGTTCAATCACAAGAGGAGTAGCCAGAACTCAAACAGGCGCTAGCACGATGGCAGCCACACAGGCTGCTGGTTAACTTGCTGAGTCACAGTGCCAGCCCCCTTCCAAGCCTTTTAACTGCTTGCTGTCCTATACTCACTGCTTAAATGGCCCAGGAGTTATTGGCCCTGAGACCAACACTGTGATACGGCAAGTCAAACCACTGCTTGTAACACTGGCATCATATCTTGGAGTGCCGGTTCTAGTCCTGGTTTTTCGACTTCTGATCTGGGATTCTGATAATGTACTTGGGTCACCTAGTTAGGAGATTAGAATGTTTGTTGGTTCTGGCTCCTGGCTTCAGCTTAGCACAATCTTGGCTGTTGAAATCATTTGAAGAATAAATGAGTAGCCATTCTCTCTCTTTCCTTGTCCCTCTCCCTCCTTTCCTCCTCCTCTCTTTCTTTACCATTCAAACATGTCTCCTTTTTAAAGAAAAAAAACGCAAGCCCTCAAATAATCGGAGAACTTTCCCTCATCTCTGACAAGAGTCAGATGGCCACCAGGTTACTATAGGATTATACTCTAAATAACCGACTCCAACGTCACTCCGCCAGCTACAGTGCAGATGCTAGTTCCTCACTTCTTCGCATCTACAATGCGTCTTCAGGACTTCGGACTTGCTCCTACTCAGCCAGTCTCTGATTTGCTTTTCAAAAACCCTAGTATCACTCTGCATCACCACAGCTATCCAATTTTTTTCACAGGAACTCAAAAAGGTTCTTTGATTCTCCTATGGATGAAACCCAAACTCTGCAGCATCACATTCACTCCCTGGAACACAGACTGACAGGCAAAGATAGACAAGGGACTTGCCATCACAGCTGGGTACCTGTTTGAGTAAGGCAAAGGATGACTATCTTTGCAAGTACTCAAGCAAATAGAGGTAAAATGGCAACTTTGATCAGCGCAACAAAGGGCAAGAGGCACACACAGAGTCCCAACTGCGTGCATGTGAGAGGGAGAGCCAGAGAAGCGGGCAGGACAATGAGCAGAGGTGCTCATCCAGAGGGAGCACCGTTCACTCCGAGATCTGAACCACGCACAGGTGAGTACTCAGGAGAGAAAGAACAACATATGCAAAGGCCAACAAGCGAAGAGCACAGATTCTCAGAGGAACTTAACAGGCAGCACCAAGGAGGAAAAAGCAGAGGCAGAGGAACAGCGAGACACGGAGATGGACAATCTAACACGTTATATCAGATCAAAGACGTGGGTGGCACAGTTTACTAAGCGGAAGAATTACACAACCATGTAGACAAACTAGAAAGATCATCTTAGCTGTCATACTGACAACAGCCTTGAGAAAATCAGAATGGAAGTCAATGTATCTGCTAAGAGACTGATCAAGTGGTACAGGTGGACGACTGGAGCAGAAGCAAACCAGCCTCCAAGTTCTGACCACACACTCCATCCCCAAGACATGTTTGTTCTACCTCCTATGTAATTAATAGACTTGTTATAGTAAGACTGTAAAGGCATGAGCTCAAAATGAAGTAATATATTGCAGTCATTTTGAAAGTCCTTTTACTACTGGAAACAGAACTGTTTTTACACAAGAAAATACAGTTTGGAAGGCCCGACAGCAGATGGTCTTACTCCGACATCTGGTTTCCTTGGACCCACAGACACTCTCACACAGATGGTGTTTATAACTACTTGCCAAAAAACACTAACATATAACTTTTCTGTTTCTCTCATGTACTGTACTTCCACAACCAAATATTTGACACACTGATATAAAGCACATTTCTACTTTTGTACTTCCTTATAGTACCCAGCAAAATGCTGTGAAACCATTAATAACAGAGGCAGAAGTAGAGAGGAAAGAAAAAAAGGAGCAACCTGGATGAGCAATATACCATGGGATACAGGGAAGAAACAGATTAAAACAACTTTCAAGTTGGTTGTATAGAGGGTTAAGCTGCTGAGACACTCGCATCCATAGAGGTACCAGTTCATAACTCAGCTGCCCTACTACCGATCCAATTCCCTGATAATACAACTGCAAAAGCAGTAAAAGATGGGGGCAAGTGCTTGGGTTCCTGCATCCATGTGAGAGACAACTTAAAAAATGATTAGTAAGTATAAAAATAATACAGAATATAAAAAAAGATAAAATGATATATTTAAACCCAGTACTATTGAGTCTAAAGCCACACTCTGCAGTTGCTAAGCTGTGTTCAGGGCTCAGACCGGCCTTTGCACATAGTGAGCTGTCCTGCCCCGAAGTGTATGCAAAGGGTAAACTAATCTAACAATGCAATCTTTTCAGGGCTAGTGTCACCACCAGGCAGCAGGTTCGAGTCCTGAACACTACTCTTGATCCAGCTCCCTGATAATGCACCTGGGAAAGCAGTGGAAGATGGCCTAAATATTTGGGCCCCTGCTTCCCTGTAGAAAACCCAGGTCAAACCACCTGCTCCTGGCTTAGCCCCAATCTAGCATGCGCCACTGCAGCTATCTAGGGAATGGACAAGCAGATCTCTCTTTCTCCCTGCCTCTCTCTCACCATATCTTAAAAAAATTTTTTTTTTAATTTGGGAGTCCTAAAAGCAAAACAAAAAAACCTTGAAAACAAAAAAACAAGGCTTTTTCTTTATACTAAGTAGCTGAATCCTAGCTAATCACAGGCAAATGCAATCGCCACCAATCAGGCTGCTTCTGCATATCACTTGGTTTTCAATGAGAGTCCTACAGCTTGTGTGAGAGCACAGAGGTGGGGCAGGGTGGAGATGAGTAGGGCACTGTGAGTCACCTTTAGAATGATATTCAGATTTAGAACTTTGTTTTTGCTCAGGCAGAACTCGAATTTAAGACATCACATCTTTTTCTTTTAAAAACAGTAATGATTACACTGAAGAGGGACAGTTGAGAGAACTATTGGCCTTGCAGTTAAGGCCTTCAAGCCCCAGACTGGAGTGCCTGGATTTGATTCTAGACTGGATTTGTCCCCAGCACGGATCCTGGGGGCAGTGACTCAAGGGACTGGCCTTCTGCCCTGCAGGGGAGGTGGAGATTGTGTTCCCAACTTGTGGCCTCATCTGAGCCAGGGACAGCTGTTCTGAATACCTAAGCACTGAAAAACCAGGAATTTTCTTTGTTTATGAAGAAACATCTTTGAGGTAAACCTTTAAAAGATGCTTTCCCCACCATTAATATGGGTTTTTTTCTTCCTTTTCCTCCTGCCACTATGGCAGAGGACTAGGGTCTCTTTTTTCCACTTTTCCTCCTGCCACTATGGCAGGGGGTAAGGGTCCTTTCTATCTCAGAGCCCCCTCCTGTCACTAGGACAGGAGTCTCCTTTCTCAACTTTTCTAATAAATCTTGCTTTAAAACTAAACTGTGTCCGCACGAAAATTCTTCTTTCCTGCGAGACAAGAATTGAGGTTGCTGCTGTACTCGGGGTCAAAAACCCTACAACATCCTCACATCACACACAGAAGTAAAATGACCTAAAGATAGACATCACAAATAAAAAGGTAGTTTATGAACCTTGGTTCACAAGAATAAGGTAAAGGAAGAGGATATATTTTATTTATCAAAATTAAAATATCACAAAACTTTAAAAAAGACATGATGCTAACCAAGAGATATATTTGCAACATTACTAGAATTGAGAATTCTTACTAAATAAATTATACAAAACAAAAAACCCCTGTAAAGTCATTAGATAGAAGTTACAAGTCAAACAGCAGGAGCAACAGTCACACTGATATAAGAAGTAGTCATGAGGGTGACAAAGGTGAACTTCATCAGTGATCTAGGAAATGGAATGTCATTTTCCTTCAGAAAATTGACAATACTATCAACTGGCCGTGTTCATGGAAGAAACAGGGGTAATGCAAATGGAAGTACTAACTGGTGAGTGTATTGTGATGGCACTCGAGAGGGAATTTGAGAGTATGCATGATAAACACTCCTAGCACCTGGCAATTCCACCAGCTTTTTATTCTGCAGAAATTTATATGCACACAAGAAAGGCAGGCGCAAAGATATCCACTAAAGAAATGGTTACAGAAATGGAAACTTAATGTACCACAGAGAAATGGTTAAACAAAGTCAGATGGATTCACCCTATGGGTACAGTTACAGACGTGAAAACACCTCAGTATATAATAGTATGGCAAGATCTTCAACAAACCCACTGCTAGCTAATTAAAGATACACAACAATGTATCTGTGTACAAACAATAAATGGAAAAGTCTTATGGGTAATGATTATACAAATATATAGAAATGCATTAAAAAGGCCTGCAGAGGTATATATGAATGGAGCTTTTATGAAAAAGGGGCAGGGCAGCATGGGAACGGCTTATTTACTATAAGGGATCCAGGCCAAACTTCCTAAAGGAGATATATTTCTGTATTATATTTTAAGAACCAACTAATGCTAGAAAAAAAATGCATTGATTTTAGATGAGCTTGGAAGCATTTCCTGAAGAAGCCCTTCCCACAGGCCGCAGGTCTGGGTGCCATGTCCTGTGAGAAGGGTTTCCTCAATCTATGGTTTGAGAATCATGTATCACCTCTGGCCTCAAATACATCATAAGAGCTTGCAATAAACACCAATGCCTTTAAGTCTCTCCCCATATTGCCTTCCAAGATTTCTTAAGTTCCTCTCAATCCAAGATGCTCACAATTCCATCATCCTGTTTATTTTCTTCAAATAGCAGTATTACTATCTCAACTTACCTAGTTATTCACTTACTTATTGCCTATCTCCCACTAGAATCGAAATGGCAAGACAATTTTTAATTCATATGATTAGTCAAGCCATTTAGAATTTTCTTACAGTATCAAAGATATTTTATTTACTTACCTTGGTTGGAAAAGGAAATTTGGAAGGTTCTGTTTTGCATGGAGTATGAATAGCCGTTAGAGGGGGAGGCCATGAATGCGTCATCTCCTGAAATGTAATTATTACAGTTTGTTTTCAACCAAGTTAAGGATAAAAATATACAGCTAAAAACCAGATTTGTATTTATAAATGCTGGTTTTATGACGGCTCCTCCAAAATTATACATAATTAGTCAAGTATTTATCAAGCACAATTGTGTGCAAGGCACTATGGGGTTGGTAAAAGGAATATAAATAATAACCATTCCCTGGTTTCAAAGAATTCACAGTTAGGATGAGGAAACCTGCTAATAGTTAAGAAATCAGCTTGACATGAGATATATGGCACACACTAAGTGCCATCGGGGGGAGCCTGTGGCGGGGGTGCGAGGAGAGGATAATGATATGGAAAGCAGCTAACATTTATTATGTACCTTTAATGGGCCAGACACTAGGCTAAGTATTTACATGTCTGTTACTCATTTAGTACTCACAATGCCATTATGAGGTAGACATGATTATTATCCTAACTCAGGATGAAACTAAAGTATACAGGTAAAGTCACTTTCTCAAAGTCACACGGTAAGCAGTGGACACAGAATTTCAACCTAGGAAAGTCTGACTACAACAGACTTCTCAGGTGAGAAAATGAAAAAAATTTCAAAAGGAAGTAAGAAGAAAAACAGATAAGGAGGGCCATCAGCCTTCTTTTTATGTAATCCTGTACCAATTGTGGTTGAGCGGGAGCTGAGCAAATTCACAGTGTGTATGTTAGAGGGGAGATGTAGATATTAAACTTAGAATAATTTACAAAAATAAATTAAACTTTATTTTAGGCATTTTGTTCCAAGTAACGCCAGCGGGTGAATCAAAAGTGGTACAGAACTTAGAAATATATTCCAAAGCTACATCCACAGTTAAGATATATATTCATGGGGCTCACACTTAAAAACTAGAAACTTATGTCCCCAAAGCACTGTGTTGATTAAATCAATTGCCAGGCAGCCATGCAATGGAACACCAAGCCGACAACAAAACAAGAAATTTAACTGTTCACATGAAATGATGTCTACAGTATGTTAAGTGACAAATACAAATCAGTCTATGTCCTAGTAAACGTTTATACATGAAAACAAAATCTCTGGAAAGACAGTTATGATTAGCAACCTCTGGGAAAAAGAACAGAAGGGAGACAGACAAGGTCACTTGATTTAGACTCTACTAACTGAAACTCTTAGAGAGTAACCTGCACATAATTGCCCTTTATCTCTTATTTATTTTTAATAGCGTCTGTTTCCCATTGCCTGCTACAGAAGGTGAAACTACTGTCACTATCCAGTGTTAGACACAGAGTAGGTGCTCAATTAAGCATCTTAAAATTGATATTAATTAATTAAGTATAATATTAATATTACACTTAATTTTAGAAAATATTTTAAGTTTATCAATAAATTTCTGCAAACAGTATGACTAGATATGAAGAAAACACAAAAAGGAAATGAAGTACCCCACCCATGGCTTACAGGGAAGGAGAAGGAAGCAGAATCCCATGTCTCAGGGTTTGGGATCAGCATTTTGCATCTCCAATGCTAAAATATTCTCAATGGAAAAAAACTTATCGAACTCCTGAATGTATCATGACATGATTCAAGGACATGTACCAAGCTCTGTATATATAAAATACAGAGTAAATGACCAGTACTATCAAAGAAATAATTTAAGAAAATGTTGCAGCTAAAATTTCACGTGTTGTTGAAGGTTCAGGGAGATAAATATCTGCTCTTGGAATTTTAATACAAGTGGGTAACTACAAAAGGTGAGTTATGTCACTGTAGTCTGCCTGGTACAGGAAACTGAGATTTTAAGAATAAAGGGGCGAGCATGGTAGCTTAGCGGCTAAAGTCTTTGCATTACATGTCAGGATCCCATATGGATGCTGGTTCGTATCACAGCTGCTCCACTTCCCACCCAGCTTCCTGTTTCTGGCCTGGGAAAGCAGTACAGGACAGCCCAAAGCTTTGGGACCCTGCACCTGCGAGCAAGACCCGGAAGAAGTTCCTGGCTCCTGGCTTTGGATCAGCTCAGCCCTGGGCTATTGCAGCCACTAGGGCAATGAATCAGTGGACAGGAAAATCTTTCTCTCTGTCTCTCCTTTTCTTAGTAAATCTGAGTTTCCAATAAAAAGAAATAAATCCTTTATATAAATCTTTAAAATAATAATAATAAAGTGATTCTAACATGTAACTGAAGAGGAAAGAGAAATACATTCCAAGAAAGATTACTTCAAGGAAGTAAAAGAGCAAAATAAAAGTATGGGTTGGGAAACCAGTTGGGTAAAAGCACTGAGGGAGCGTAGAGTCAGGAAAGCCTGTGGAAGGGCTGGAACATAACACTTAGACACTACTCACTCTTTCAATGGCTCCTACAGAGTTGCTGAAATTTTCTTAAGTGAAAGAATTATGAAGTCTGGAGAGTGAATTAAAGAAGCTGGTAATAACACAGAAGACAGGTAAGCAGGTAGAGACAAGCACACTGAGGTCCCTGCTACAATTACAGAAGCTTAAAGGTCACAGAAATGGGAAGAATGGATATTTCAAAGGAAATTTCAAAGTCTATATATCTCATTCTTTATACTAATTAGATTCTGTACCTAAAAGGAAGTCTGATAGCATAGCATTAGACATGTTACATTTGAGCAAGCAAAGAAAAATCCAAATGGAATCCAGCTAAGAAGCAATTAAGAGAAATAAACCAAAACACAAAGGAGGCCAACCACTGAACAGATAAAGCCAAGACTAGCAGGAACAGGAGTCAAAACGCAGAAAGAAAACACAGGGGGCTAGGTAAAAAGCACCACACTTAATAGAGAACAGAATACACAAGGCAAGGCTTCCCAAACGGTAAGGAGCGAGATCAAGGAAAGTGCCAGGAAAATAATAACAATGAAGCCTTAGAATAGTCAAGGAAAGAAATGATCGTTCCAGAAGCACAAACTTTAAATTCCTAAATCAGCAGAGAGGGAAAAAAGTATAAACCCAAAGGAAGCTCCTAGATGAAGGAGGAGAAAGTGTCTGAGAGGAACAGGTTCAGCAAAAGGGAGGTGACAGGGGGCTCCAGGAAGGTATGCGGGAGAACAGGGAAAATCAAATAGAGACACACAATTTAAGAGCTTACAAGGAAAAAAGTACAAGTAACAGGAGACTGCGTTTTCTCCACGGAGTGAAACACAGTCAGGGTCACTCATTTAGTATCTGGACTTTCTCTTTTTCCAACATTTTCCTTTTCTTCTAACAAAAGAATGCACATTTTGGCCACGTGTGGGTTTTAAATGCATTGCTTTAAATACCCAAAAAGTGCAGTACTTAGAGGTCTGTTACTACCAGATTTCTAACCAGAAGGTACAGATGGATTACAAAGCCAGCTATCTGCAAGGTGAAGATCTGAATACTGAGTTTTTTAAAGCATTTCAAAGTATTAACTGTACGATAAGTTGAAAAAGCATGGTTATATTGTATTTCTTCCTTTCAAGGCACATTGCTAGGACTGAAATTTATTTTACTTAAAACAAAAAACAAAATCAGCTTTTTGAAGGTAAACAGTAAAACAAAAAAGCCACGTGATTCAGAACATAGGGAGAAGCGGAACAGTCATTTATGATGAATATAATCAAGTTACACATATAAGCAATCTGTTGCTGTGGCTCCTGTGCGAAATTCTGTAAGCTTGCAGAGGACCATTATCCAATAAATAAATACATAAACAAAACTTACTTTAAGGATTTCATCCACACAGCTCACATCACCAGAAGCTGAAGCCTTAAGAAAAAGAAACACACATTTGAAGTATGATTAGCTTTGTGTACAGTACCTATAAAGATTTTTAGAAACTATTATAAATGAAGTAGAATTTAAGTAAATCTTCATGGGGGGGAGGGTGCTGTTAGAGTGCATCTGGTTCAGCCACAGCAAATGACACCAGCATCCCAAACAGGAATGCTGCTGGGAATCCTGGCTGCTCCATTTCCAATCCAGCTCCCTAATACAACTGGGAAAGCAGTTAATGACTTCAAGTGCTGGTCCCAGTCCTCCACAGAACCATTCCACAGAATGGTTCCTGTTCCTGGCTGTGGCCTAGCCCAGCCTTGGATGTTGCAGGCATTCAGGAACCAGGAAATGGATGATTTCTCTCTCTGTTTCTGTCATAATGCCTTTCAAATGAACAAACCTTAAATGAAAAAAAAAAAAAAAAAGTATTGATGATTCTACCAGTATATTAAATCAGAAAACTAGTTAGAAAGCACAGTTTGGGGAAATCTGTATTTTTCAATGGTTTTTATAATTGTGTATTTTTTTATACTTCAGATGAGAAATAATTTTTAAGACATGATATTTCAAGTAAGCAGCTTGTGCAAAATTGAAGTTTCCTTGTATACAGAATATATCATGATACTAAGGTAAACCACTTCATATAAACCAACAGAGGAAGACAAGTACTACTAAGCATTATTAAAAGTATTACTGTCACATAATACAATGTAATTAAAAAAAACAAAAGTATTACTAAGAGTATTGGCTTGGAACATGATGGGCACAGTCCTTTATTTTTAAATCACAGATGTAAGTTGCTTATTTTAAAGCACAAACATGAATTAGAAAGCTCAAATCCAGACAAACACTAAGGATCAACAATTCAGTTTGCCTTGGAGGCATAATTAGATGATAAATACCACCAAGAGAAGTTCCTTCTTATTTTGACTATCCCTGATCCTTAATCCCATTCATCATGCAGGAACATCAACTGAGAGTTTTGGATAATGATGTCACGTCAGTATTTTTTATTCCGTGAACTGCATTAAAAAAGAAAATCTCACCTAATTCAAAATAAATGTTCACTTCCCTGACTATTCTGAAGTCATGTTTCAGTATCAGGCGATAAAGAGGTAACAAACACAATAAATTTCAAATTACCCCTAGAAATTTAGAGCAACTTGTCCAATCCTTTAAGTATAACCAAAGGGGAAAAACTCACTACATAACCACTATACAACATTCATTTCCATAAACTGCAATGCCCCAGTATGTGGTACCACAAACCATGACTCCCATTTCATTCTCCAGTACCACTACAATGAAGATGTTGCAGTGCTGGCTCTACGTCCCTCTAGCTTCCAGCTCCACTGGCAGCTGCTGCAGATCCTGGGCGGCAGCAGCGATGATCAAGTAACTGGGCTTCTGTCCTCCCCACCCCACCTCATGAGAGACCTGACTGTCTTCTCAGGCCCTGGTTTCAACACTCAGGGTGAGAGAGTGAACCAGTGGACAGAACTCCCTTTCTGCCTTTCACTTAAAAAAAAAAAGGGGGCCCGGCAAGGTGGCACAAGTGGTTAAAGGTCCTCGCCTTGCACGCCCGGGATCCCATATGGGCGCCGGTTCTAATCCCAGCAGCCCCGCTTCCCTTCCAGCTCCCTGCCTGTGGCCTGGGAAAGCAGTCGAGGACGGCCCAAAGCTTTGGGACCCTGCACCCGCGTGGGAGACCCAGAAGAGGCTCCTGGCTTTGGATCGGCATAGTATCGGCCCGTTGCGCTCACTTGGGGAGTGAATCATCAGACGGAAGATCTTCCTCTCTGTCTCTCCTCTCTGTATATCCGCCTTTCCAATGAAAAAATAATAAAAATAAATCTTTAAAAAAAAAAAGCAGCAAAATAAAATTTAAAAATAGAAAAACTGATTTCTAGACAAAAGCAAGCAAGCTATGTATCATGCCATGCCATCAACAGTGAGAGAGATGGCACTGATAGGTCAGGCTTCCCCCAGCTGACTGGTCATTTTCACATCTGAAATCAGTGAAGCACATTTTTCTACTTCCCAGGAGGGAAAGCTAACAGTCCCTAGATCCATTTGGGAGTCACTTGCAAATTTTTCTTTGGACCTCTTTTTTCAGCCTTTAAATTTGCATATTCTTTATCATTAGGGCAAAGCTGCAGCTCAGGTTCAATTATAATTCAAGGTCAACAGGTTAACACATCACAGTGTGAACAGCTCTGAACTGGAGACTTACATCCAGTGGTTGGGAAGGGATTTTCAGCTTGGTGAGATGGGCTTTGCTGCTGGGCTTCAGTTCGGTTGTGCTGTTGCCATGGGATTGGCTGCTGTAGTGCTCAGAGGACAGTTTGGGTTCCATGGACTCCTGTCCATCCATGGGCCGCACATAGGCAGTGGGTTTCTGTAACATGGAACTGGACTTTGACATCAATGAAGGTGGGAAAGCCTGATTTGAATGCTGCCCACTTGAAAACGGTACGCGAGAGGGAGAGTCCCAGTTCGCATCAGGGTCCCGAGGAGATTTGGAACGCTGATGTTCCTTGCTATGGTGATCATTCCCATGAGATCTGGAATGACTAGAGCTTAATGAAGAAACAGCCTGGGGCTTTCCAGGGCTAGACGAACGTGATTTGGAGTGTTCTGATCCATGCTGGCCTTTTTTCCGGCTACTGCTCCCACTGCTGCTGTATGAGTCACGGTCATGCCTCTGGCCACTGCTGTTGGTGCTACTGCTGCTCGCACTGGTCCGCTGGCTACTATGTCCACTTTGCAAGCCAGACGACCGTTTCTGAGACTGAGAAGTGCTGGGTGCAGGTCCTACTGGAGTCCATTTGCTACTCTGATGAGAACCTCCATGTCTCTGTTCAAAGAAATTTGGATTTGATTTTTCATCTGTGGTTGGCGGTACTGTAGGCTTGGGAATTGCTACAAGCTTTGGTATAGCTCTATCTCCTATGAAATCCTGCATTTCATCGTAGTCTCCAAGCATACTCTGAATGCGACTTGATAATTTATCTTCTTTGCTAGTCTAAAAAAAAAATGCAAAATAAAGGTATAAAATTAGCATGCTCAGCAATAAAATATTCTTCAAAACTTATTTATTAACTTTCAAATACAAAGAGAACTTTTAAAGGAAGGCTACATATTTCAGAGTTAACACTTAGAGGCAATGATAAATACATAACTTTCATAGCAACACAAAACAAAACAAAAAACAAAAACTAACACTAATGCTAAAATAGAAATATTGCAGGGGCTGCTATTGTGACATAGCAGATAAAACCACCACCAGTGATGCCAGCACCCCATAAGGGTGCCAGTTTGAGTTCCAGATGCTCCCACTTCCGACCCACCTCTCTGCTATTGCCCTAAGAAAGTAGCAGAAGATGGCCCAAGTTAATGAATTCCTAGAAGTTCCAGGACCTTGGCTTTGGCCCAGCACAGTCCCACCTGCTGCAGCCAGATCAAAGATCTCTGATTCTCCATCCCTAGCCCTGCTTTCAAAAATAAATATGCCCTTATATATATTAACTGTTAGGCCAGCATGGTAGCTAGCACTCATATTTTGTTAATCCATGAACAATTTTATTCCTCTTAATTCAGTGTTATGGTCAGAAGCAAAAACAAAAAATTTAGTGAAACAAGTTATACCCAGATTGTTTTTTGTAACTCCCCCTGTTAATTCACCATAATAAAAGTCTCAAACAAACTAAACAATGAAAATTTCTTGAAAAAGTTTCAAATCCTGAATATTTTCCCTGACCAATGAATTTTTCAACTTTTGAAGTCAACAGTAAGTTGTAAAAATATCATTCAAAAGTGATAAAAGATCTAAGATGTCTGATGTCTATAGGTTTTAGAACTCTCGAATTTTCATAATCAAAGAAAAAACTGACTGCATTGAATAGACATAAAAAACAACACACCAATATTTATCTATGAGATTGGCAAGAATCAAGTGAGTTTAGGTTATTAACATTGATATAATCCAAATCATAATGGTAACCTTATGGCTAAAGTCTTCACTTGCATGCCATAGGACCCCACATGGGTGCCAGTTCTAATCCCAGCAGCCCTGCTTCCCATCCAGCTCCCTGCTTGTGGCCTGGGAAAGCAGGTGAGGATGGCCCAAAGCCTTGGGACTCTGCACCTGCGTGGGAGACCTGGAGGAAGCTCCTGGCTCCTAACTGCAGATCAGCTCAGCTCCAGCCACAGTGGCCACTTGGGGAGTAAATCAGCAGACTTAAGATCTTCCTTTCTGTCTCTCCTCTTCTCTATATATCTGACTTTCCAATAAAAATAAATAAATCTTTCAAAAAATGAATAAATAAATTAGAAAATGTTTGATAGCTCTAGCTAACAGACTTTTTAAAAGGTAGAACATATAAGTAACTTCCATAAGAACCAAATGTAATAGAAGTAAACTAAACTTTGAATATGTTGTTACTTTTAATATTTCATTAGAAAAACGACCACTCTCACCCTCATACTGTAGTCATTACTGCATAACACATGGTGTACTGCAATTCAAAACGCTCACGGAAAAATAAACTTAGCCCTTACTTTCATTTTCCCATGTACCTCTAAGCTCACCTTCATATTTTTACTGTTACATACATAATACAAGTCTTTAAAATGTAAAGAACAATTCAAACACAATCCAAGGCCAAATCAAATGTCACTAAAGGTACATTCACAAACAGAAACTGTATTATTTAGCGACTCGCAAACCATATAGCTAGTAGTAATAGAAACCGATCCATTTATTACTACAGCTTGTTTTAATATTAATTTGATACTGTTAATCAAGTACTGAAAGGAAAGCAACTGGAAGCATTAGAAGGAAAATGAAAGAGGTTAGTATCACACAAAGAGCCAAACACTAAAGATATGCTCATTTAAACTTACTAATAATTATTACAACTCAGTGAATTAAGCATGTGAATATCAACCGTGTGGATAGGAGAAATAAAATCATCTACAAAATGTTAAACTCACTTGATTCATAAAACTGAAGAATAAAACTTTTCAAAAGCGTACTCACTATGCCACATACTGGCCTCCCCAGGCTGCTCCACAGAGGGTCATGAGCTGAAAGCAGTGGACAGTCCAAGGGCCTGGCCACTGCACCCGTGTGCAGACCCACAGGAAGCGCTGGCTTTCACCTTCACCTGGCCTAGCCTTTGGGGATGTCAACTAGCAGAGGGAAGGTTCTCTAACTCTACCTCCATTACTGTAACTCTGCCTTTGAAAGAAAATACACCTAAGTCCTCGCCTTGAACGCCCCGGGATCCCATATGGGCACCGGTTTTAATTCCAGCGGCTCCACTTCCAACCAGCTCCCTGCTTGTGGCCTGGGAAAGCAGTCAAGGACAGCCCAAAGCTTTGGGACCCTGCACCTGTGTGGGAGACCTGGAAGAGGTTCCTGATTCCCGGCTTCAGATTGGCGCAGCACCGACCGTTGCGCTCACTTGGGGAATGAATCATCGGACGGAAGATCTTCCTCTCTGTCTCTCCTCCTCTCTGTATATCTGCCTTTGTAATAAAAATTAATAAATCTTAAAAAATAAATAAATAAAATAAAGTAAAGTAAAAATAAAATAAAATAAAATACACCTCAAACAAAACAAACAACTTACAACTTTGTAAGGCTCAGCAAAGAGAGGAGAGCTGGGTGGGAAGGCGTCTTCGCCCTGCTGAATTTCCTGATTCCGCCTTTCCCGTTCTTTCATACGCAGCACATTCCGGTCTTCACGGTTCATGTTGCTACGAAGAGACACAAGTCAGACATCACACACGCACAGACAAAATTAAATTCTTAGTACTTTTTTGTCAGTGTAATATTCACTTGCATATTTCCTTCTAATTTTCAATTAATAACTGCCATTAGAGCAAAAGCTGGGTCTTGGTAAGGTTAATCAACATCAATAGCATCTCCACAATCACCCAGAGGAAAAACCCCAGTGCAGAATGAGAACCCAGCCAGGAATACACGTCGCCCAGCCGGTTTTCAAAGTGCTCAGTTAGCTACATAGGAGGTACAGCTTGTGCAGTGCTAAAACCCCAAGCTTCAGTTTGTGTAATCACCACTGCCTCCTGAGAAGCCCAACTATTCTCTGTTCTGAAAGACAGAGAACCGGGCCAGCTAATGCCTAATCTTCTCATTGCAAGCATTGGGGATCCCACATGGGTGCCAGTTCGTGCCCCCGGCTGCTCCACTTCTCATCCAGCTCCCTGCTTGTGGCCTGGGAAACAGTAGAATCGGAGACCTGGAAGAAGCTCCTGGCTTTGAGTCAGCCCAGTTCCGGCTGTTGCCACTTGGGAGTGAACCAGTGAACTGAAAACCTTTCTCACTGTCTCTCCTTCCCTCTGTAAATCTGTCATTCCAACATAAATAAATAACTCTTTTAAAAAAACAAACAACAAAAGAGTAGAAAACCCATTTGCTTTTACCCCCCAGGGCCCAGCTCTGTTCTGTACTTTGCATCTCTACCTTAAATCAATTTCTTCTTGTCTCAAATACAGCCTCCTTGGTGTCCATCTGTGTGGCAGTTTGATCTCAGCTTTGCTGTTGCTCTAGATCCCCCCCGCAAAATGACATTTCTCCTCTAAAGACACTAACATTTCGAGTAACACCTCAAAAATATGGCCAAACTGAGGTTTTCAATAACCATCTTTGGTTAATTTCGGTTAGTAAAGAAATTGAACTGAAACAGTCTTGTGGGATAGGTGAGAAAATGGAAGTGCCACTTCTGTAATTGTGACACTATGTTGTTTTTTAAAACTTGTTTATTTTTATTGAGAAGTCAGATTTACAGAGAGCAGAAGAGAGAAAGATCTTTCATCTGCTGGTTCACTCCCCAAGTGACCACAATGGCCAGAGCTGAGCTGATCTGAAACCAGGAGCCAGGAGTTTCTTCTGGATCTCCCACGTGGATGCAGGGTCCCAAGGCTTAGAGCAGTCCTCCACTGTTTTCCCAGCCCATATCAGGGAGCTGGATGGGAAGAGGAACAGCCAGGACACGAACTGGCATCTGTCTATATGGGATCCAGGCAGGTGCAAGGCATGCATTTAGCCAGTGAGTCATCACACCAGTTCCTATGTTGTTCTTTTTACTCAAACAAACCAAGAAGGACAGTTAATTGGTAATAGAAGGAATTTTAGTTAAACAGATTAGGAGAAAAAAGATGTCAAACCCCTTGGACAAGGGATTACCAGGGACCCTGTGACACTCTTTTCTGGAATCAAATTATAAAGTATCTGTTCTGGTTTTATCAGAAAAAAAAAAAAAAGAAAGGTCTGTTGGAGGCACAAAGAAATATCAAGTTATGCCCTTGGAGTATTCTAATTCACAAAGCAAATCAGAAAACTGAAGTAAATCAATATCAGGGGAAATTATTAATTAGGATGTCAAAGCCAATACGTTCTTGAAAGAGGACATTTATCACAGTGAACGTGGGAAGGTGCCATGGTAGAAGAGGCTAATCCTCCGCCCCAAGCACCAGCATCCCATACGGACACAGGTTCTAATCCTATCTGCTGCACTTCCAATCCAGAGCTCTGCTTGTGGTCTGGGAAAGCAGCAGAGGATGATCCAGGTGGTTAGGGGCCTACAACCATGTGAGAGACCAAGAAGAAGCTCCTGGCTCCTGGCACTGCAGAGACTCAGTTATGGCCATTAGGCCATTTAGGGAGTAAACCAGCAGTTGGAAGGTAATGCACACTCTCTCTCTCTCTCCTTCTCTATGTAAATCAGCCTTTCAAATGAAAGTAAAATTTTTAAGTAAAAAAGAACAATGAAAGCTAACATCCCAAAACAAAATTTCTCAAGTACCAACAGTGTTATGCAAACAAAACAACGTGATGTACAAAAAAGGACATTCTTAAGTGTTCACATTCAAATATAAGATGTTTCGTACTTACACAATATTCTAATACATTTAGACTGGAATATAAACCTATTGCAGGGTATAGAAGTAATGTGTGGGGCCCAGCATGGTAGCCTAGAGGCTAAAGTCTTAGCCTTGAAAGCACTGGCATCCCAGATGGGTGCTAGTTCTAATCCTGGCAGCTCCACTTCCCATCTAGCTCCCTGCCTGTGGCCTGGGAAAGCAGTCGAGGACGGCCCAAAGCTTTGGGATCCTGTACCCATGTGGGAGACTTGGAAGAGCTCCTGGTTCCTAGCTTCAGATTGGCTCAGCACCAGCCATTGTGGTCACTTGGAGAATGAATCATCAGACAGAAGATCTTCCTCTCTGTCTCTCCTCCTTTCTGTATATCTGACCTTGCAATAAAAATAAATAAATCTTAAAAAAAAAAGTAATGTGTAATTTCTTTGGTTTCTCTAGTACTAAGCACTCTACCAAACCACAGGAAGTATCTGAATCTTTCCTTAATGACTTTTTTAAAAAAGATTTATTTATTTTTATTGCAAAGGTGGATATACAGAGAGGAGGAGAGACAGAGAGGAAGATCCTCCACCAACTGGCTTACTCCCCAAGTGGCCATAACAGCCATCACTCGGCCATTCCAAAGCCAGCAGCCAGAAGCTTCTTTGAGGTCTCCCATGTGGATGCAGAGTCCCAAGGCCTTGGGCTGTCCTCTACTGTCTTTCCAGGCCACAAGCAGCAAGCTGGAGGAAAAGTGGGGCAGCCAGGGTACACACCAGCACCTATGTGGGATCTCAGCAAGGCAAGGACTTGATAACCACACCAGGCCCTCCTTAACAATTACTATACAACATCTGTACTTAAGTACTCAGAGATCCTATGTTGAAAGAAAATATATTTTTCTCCTGTACATTTAACCAACAAATTACATCATACTCCATACAAGAAACCTGTAGGTAGAGTTTTGAACTATAATGTTGGCATTTCACAAAGCAGTATTTATCTGATAGGGCTAATGAGGCATATTAGTTTATCAGTAACCATAAATATCCTAAATTGAAATTGTCAGTGGCCAGAAAATTTCTTTAAAATGACACACTTTCATGTATGCAACAGCCATAAAATAATCACTCAAGAAATACCGTTAAATGTATTGCAAAAACAGGTATGACTCCTGAGGCCAGTGCTGGGCATTGCAAAAAGCCACTATCTCCAAAGTTCCAGGTCAACTCCCAGCTGCTCTTCTTCCAATCTAGCTCCCTGCCAACGCAGGAAAGTACCAGAAGAGGGGTCAAGTCTTTGGTGAAACCCCCGCTGGAATCCTGGACTCCTGGTTTTAGTGGGGGACCAGCAAAACAGAATATTCTCTCTCTCACTCTCACCTCCTCTTCTTAATTGCCTTTCATTCAAATAAATAAACAATACTTTTAAACACACAATTTCCACAATACAATTCTCTCTCTGATTCACTGCCAAAGAAATCCTGTTTTGGAAAATAAAACAATGAGCAGAAATGACATACAGCAGAGATTTCAATGTGGGAGACCTACACTGCAGCCTGGCACTGGCCTCACGTCCAGCAAGTCCAGCCTGGCCATTTCAGGCATGAGGGGGGAAGTAGTGGAGGGCAGGGGCAGTCTCAGGATTTCTGCCTCTCAAATAATTAAAAATAAAAAAGCCAGAAATATTGAAAACACTACATTTACTTAAGTAAAAACTTCACACCAATAATGGGACACAATGGCGTCACACATTTCATCATGCAAGTCACTGAAGATACATCACTGCATATTTTTCCTCTTAGAAATATTCAACCTGAATCTAATCACCTAAAGCAAACCTGAGGTGAAGATCATTCTACAAAATTAGTCTGAAATATCTAGAAAATGTCCAAAGGTGAGTAGAAGACTAAAAATTACTTCTACGATTGAGGACTTTTAAATGCAACACATGGTCCTTCGCTTTCCTGATCCGAGAATGAAGTAGTGGATATGCTTGTCAGGTTTATTACTGGGAAACTTAAATACAGACAGCATTTCAGATAACAATATAAATGTTAAGTTTCTCAACTCTGTATAATGACTAATGGATGCAAATTTTCTTTTCTTTTTTTTTTTAAGATTTATTTTATTTTTATTGGAAAGGCAGATATACAGAGAGGAGAGAGAGAGGAAGATCTTCCATCCAATGATTCACTCCCCAAGTGAGCGCAACGGCCGGTGCTGCGCCAATCTGAAGCCGGGAACCAGGAACTTCTTCCAGGTCTCCCACACGGGTGCAGGGTCCCAAAGCTTTGGGCCATCCTGCTTTCCCGGGCCACAGGCAGGGAGCTGGATGGGAAGCGGGACTGCTGGGATTAGAACCGGTTCCCATATGGGGTCCCGGGCGTGCAAGGTGAGGACCTTAACCACTGCGCCATCGCGCAGGGGCTGGATGTAAATTTTCAATAAGAGGTGTCCTGGGCCCTGCACAATGGCTTAACAGCTAAATCCTCGCCTTGCAAGCAGAAAACAGCTCTGGGGATTGGACCCCTGCAGCCACGCAGGAAACCCAGATGAAGCTCCTGCCTCCGGACTTTGGCCTGGCCCAGCCTCAACCTAGTCCTAGCTGACATAACCATTTGAGAAGTGAAACACTGGATGAAAGACATTTATCTCTGTCTCTCCTCCTCCTCTCTAATCATGACATTTGAATACATAAATAAACATTTTTTTAAAAAGAAGAAGCGTTAGCACTAATTTTCAAGATGATCCCTTGTCTCCCTATGCTGTTGCTCAAATCACAGGTGGTTTAATGACAGCTAAGCACTATCACTAGCTGCTATGGATCATCTTGACACAGTGCAGTATCCTTGCTAATAAAAGCACTCAAGAATAAAATAAATGCACAACCAACCAAAAAAGCAAATCAACCAGCCAAAAACAAAAACAAAAACCAAAAAAACAAACAAATAATCATTTTCTCTATCTTCTGTAAGGTCCAAACCTCAAACTATAAATAGCTAGTATGGTACATATAATAATTAAACACTTAATCTCCAATTCTGATTACATAACATACTAAATACAAGAAATTCGGGCAAATCTGTTTTATCTTTTATGAAGAATTCATATTACTTAATCTGATGCTAAGGACTGCAGGACTTGAACACGTTATAATTAGTTTTCCAGGATTTGAAATGCTGAACACGAACAACACTACAATAAAGTAAACCTAACAGATGGTTATATTACACTTCATGCAAACAGCAGAATACACAGCCTACTCGGACACACCTGGAGTGTTTCCAAGACAGATTATATTCGATTACATCTAAATAAACTGAAACGGAATCAAATTATATAAAATATCTTCTCTAACAATGGAATGAAAAACAACATCAGACAATATAATGAAAATTGGCAAGTTCACACTTGCCATCCAGCTCCCTGCTTGTGGCCTGGGAAAGCAGTCGAGGACGGCCCAGAGCCTTGGGACGCACGTGGGAGACCCAGCAGAAGCTCCAGCCATTATGGCCACTGAGTGAATCAGCGGATGGAAGATCTTCCTCTCTGTCTTACCTCCTCTCAGTGTATCTGACCTTTCAATAAAATAAATAAATAAATCTTTGAAAAAATTTTAAAAGAATTTAAACATATCAAAAGATACTCTGTGTTCATGGATAAGGTTCTGTACTAGTAAATGGCAATACTTGAGTCCAGAGCTGTAGCACAGGAGACAAAGCTATTAGCCAAAGTATGAGCATTGGATATGAAAACCAGTTTTAGTTCCAGGTACTCCACTTCCAATTCAGCTTCGTATTTACACGTTTCAGAAAGCAGTGGAAGACACCCCAAGAACTAAGCACCGGTGAGTACATAGCAAACCTGGAGGAAGGTCTAGGCTACTGGCTGCTGGATTCAGACCAGTCCAGCTCTGGCCATTACACCCGTCTGAGATCTCTCTAACATCTCTACTACTCTTTCCAACTTTGCCTTTCAAATAAATACATAAATGTTAAAAAAAAAAAAAGCCAAAACTGATGATTAGATTCAACATACTCCCCATCAAAATTGCAGCTGATATTTTGCAGAAATTCACAACCTGATGCTAAAATTCACACCAAGATTCTACGAGTCAAAATAATCTTACAAATAAGAAAGGTGGAAGCTGCACACTTCCCGACATCAAAAAGTAGTACAAACTTACAGGCCAATAAAACACACCTCACAGTCACAACTGACTGTCCACAAGAGTGCCAAGCCGGCAACTACAAATTGCCCAAAGACTAGAATCAACATTTCTCCAGCATGTTTCAATAAGCATATGAAAAGATAACTCACATCTTTAGTCAACAGAGAAACACAAATGAAACCAGGATAAGGCACATCTGCACACCAATTAGGATATTCACTAACAAATTGTAAAAAGTGACAGATAAAATATGATATATACATAGTGAAATATTATTTGGTCATAGAAAGTAATGGAATTCTGATATATAATATGACATGGATGAAACTTAAAAATTTTATGTGAAACAAGCCAGATACGAACAGACACATATTATAAGATTCACTTACTGGATTAGACAAATTAGTGGAAACTGAAGATAAAACAAAGTTGGGACAATGGGCAGATATTCATGGAACATCTGTGATGGTAAAAAGAAAGCTTCATAAAGACAGTGGTGACAGTTGTATAACATTGTGAATACACTTAATATCACCAAACTGTATCTAAAATAACAAAATTTTGTTATGTCATTTCACAATTAAAATATTGACACATACCAACACCATTTAAATGTAAAATCCCAGTGAACTAGAAATTGTATTTATATAAAACATATTTCATAATTTGGCCCAGCGCAACAGCCTAGTGGCTCAATCCTTGTCTTGCATGCACAGGGATCCCATATGGGCACCTGTTCCTGTCCCAGCTTCTCCACTTTCTATCCAGCTCCCTGATGCGGCCTGGCTGGAAAAGCAGTAGAGGACGGCCCAAGGCATTGGGACCCTGCACCTGTGTGGGAGAGCCGGAAGAGGTTCCTGGCTTCAGGTTGGCTCAGCTATGGCCATTGTAGCCACTTGGGGAGTGAATCGGGGGACAGAAGATCTTTTTCTCTAACTCTTGTTCTCTCTATATATTGGCCATTCCAAGAAAAAAAGATAAATCTTAAATTGCAGGTCCGGTGCGTGGCCTAGAGGCTAAAGTCCTCGCCTTGAATGCCAGAATCCCATATTAGCACCAGTTCTAATCCTGGCAGATCCACTTTCCATGCAGTTCCCTGCTTGTAGTCTGGGAAAAGCAGTTGAGGATGGCCCAAAGCCACGTGGGAGACCTGGAGGAAGTTCCTGGCTCCTGGGTTCGGATCAGCACAGCACCAGCCATTGTGGTCACCTGGGGAGTATATCATCGGACATATCTTCCTTTCTGTCTCTCCTCCTCTCTGTATATCTGATTTTGCAATAAAATCTAAATAAATCTGAAAAAAATATATATAGTATCTAAAGGCCCAGCGCAGTAGCCTAATTGTTAACACCCCTGCCTTGCATGCACTGGGATCGCATAAGGGCACCGGTTTATGTCCCAGCCACTCCTTTTCCCATCCAGTTCCTGCTTGGCTGTGGTCTAGGAAAGCAGCAGAGGACAGCCCAAAGCCTTGGGACTCTGCACCCACAGGAGAGAGCTGGAGTATGTTCCTGGCTCCTGGCTTCAAGTTGGCTCACCTCTGGCCATCTGGGGAGTGAACCAGCAGATGGCAGATCTTTCTGTCTCTCCTTCTCTCTGTAAATCTGCCTTTCCAATAAAAATGGTAAAATCCTTTTTTAAAAAAGTAGCTATAACCTAAAGGGTATCTTACTGAAATATTCATAACGTATGCATTGATAGTTATTTTTATAAAATTATAAACCAGAGCTAACTAACACACTGTTCCACTTTAAAATGATCAATAACTCCAAGCTCTACAGAAAACTCTAAGCCCAAAATTTTCTTCCCAGGATTTGAAGCTATCAACAGATCAATTCTTAATTTCATGAAGCCTTAATATTACACAAATCTACAAATTCAGATCCCCAAACTAGTCCCTCTTTCTTCTTTCAATCCACTTTTAAAAACATCCTTTTCAAAGTTTATCATATATCCCACTTTCTTCAAGAAGACTTTCAAGGTTTCTCTGAAAGAAACATCAGAAAATCACTCATTCTCAGAAGCCCTTGCTCCTGCCTTGTGGTGCATACTACCGACTTACAGTAGGGTTATCTGATTGACTGCTACTTTCTTATCTCCACTCCCCACTTATCTGTCACTGCTTCTGGAACAAGAAACTCAGATAGGACTTACAGTCCCCTCTCTCCTCCAATGTTTAACATGATGACTGCCACACAACAGATACTCAAAATGCCCTATAAAATGTTATGAAGTTGTTTATAAGTTTGTAAAGTGCTAGTGTAACTGCCTCAAGAGTCAAGCCATGGGTCAGGCATGGTAGCCTAGTGGCTAATGTTCTCGCCTCAAATGCCCAGGGATCACACATGGGTCCTGGTTCATATCCCGGCTGCTCCACTTCCTTCCCAGGTCCTTGCTTGTAGCCTGGGAAAGCAGTAGAGGATGGTCCAAAGCCTTGGGACCCTGCACCTGCATGCGTCCTGGGTCCTGGAGTCCGGCTTTGGATTGGCTCAGCTCTGGCTTTGGATCAGCTCAGCTCGTTGTGGCTGCTTGGGGAGTGAACCACCAGATGGAAGGTCTTTCTCTCTGACTCTCCTTGTTTCTGTGAATCTGACTGTCCAATAAAAACAAATAAATTTTCAAAAGACAAACAAACAAACAGAGTCAAATTAAGACAATGGAAGTACTCACTGAAGGTTGGGTATCAGACTACAGTGCTGGGGCTGATGTAACGGTATAGAGGATTTAGCTGCCACCTGCTACGCTGGCATCCATGTGGGTGCAGGTTCAAATTCCAGTTGCTCCACTTCCCATCCAGCTCCCTGCTAATGTACCTGAGAAAGAGTAGAAGACATACGAAGTTGCTGGGCCCTGCCAGCCATGCAGGAGACCTGGATACGCTCCAGGCTTTTGGCCAGGTCACTGCAGACACTGGAGGAGTGAATCACCAACAGAGATCTCTCTCCCCTCCTTTCTCTCCTGTCTCTCTCCACTCCAAGGTCTCTCTTTGTAACTCTGCTTTTCAAAAAAAAAAAAAAAGAATATGATGCTGATACTATTCATCTTTTTCTCACCACTGATAGACTCCCACTTGCACTCTAAGGTTTTTGGTATATATTTTATAACATTAGCAAGGTAGGTTTGGGGACAAGGTTGTGGTCTAACATAACCTGCAATGTGTAACTCATATGTGTACTGGTTTTATAGTCCTGAATGTTCAGACCCCTGTTAAACCACCTTGGAAAGTGGTAGAGGATGGCCCAAGGCCATGGCCCTGCACGCACACAGAGGACACAGACAAAGCCCTGGGCACTGGCCTCAGCCTGGACCAGCCCTGGTCACTGCGGCCATTTGCGGAGTAAGCCAGCACAAGAAGGACTTCTCCATGTATGTCAATTCCTTCTCCTTTTTGTTTCTGTATTTTTCCTTTTCTTTCTGGATTTGTGTCTTTAAATAATTAAATAAATATTTTAAAATAAGAAAGTAAGTAAGCCTTTTTCTGTCAATACATATTATATACATGTGAAGTACTACGTTATATAATCCATTATTAATAATTAATTGAAAGCAATGACACCAAGAATTTACCATTTCTAAAGTACTATTCCTAAAGGGCTATAAGAGAGAAACAAAATATATAAGAAAAATGTACAGAAATGCTCCATTTCTTTTTTTTTAATTTTATATATTTTTATTTTGAATTATGTGGTACAATTTCATATAGACTGGGATTTCCCCCCAAACTCCCACCCCCCGACAGATTTTCCCCATTTTACTACAATGGTATAGTCCTTCATAAGGAATCACAATTCCATCAGTCTCATTTAAGTGTACCCTGACATTGCGGGTACAATGTCAGATGAAACTGCTGGAAATGTGTAGACAATGGGATGCTGGACTGTCTGACATTGTCTAGAAATGCTCCATTTCTATACTCACGTAAACCCTGCATTTTTGTCAAAGTTTGTCCACCATAAATATCATAAATATCTTAGGCCCAGCTGCTCCACTGCTGATCCTGCTCCCTATTAACAGCCTGGGAAACAGGAGAGGATGGCACAAGGCTTTAAGACCCTGCACCCACATGGGAGACCTTAAAGAAGCTCCTGGCTCCCAGCTTCAAACCAGCTCAGCTCTGGTAGCTGTGGCCATTTTAGGGAGTGATCTAGTGAATGCAAGATCTCTTTGTCTCTCTCTCTCTCTAACTCAGACTTTCAAGTAAAATAAATAAATCAGCTGGTGTGGTAGCCTAGTGGCAAAAGTCCCTGCCTTCAACGCTCCGGGATCCCATATGGGCACTGGTTTGTATCCTAGTTGCTCCACTTCCCATCCAGCTCCCTGTTTGTGGCATGGGAAAGCACTAGAAGATGGGTCAAAGCCTTGGAACCCTGCAGCTGTACAGGAGACTGGGAAGAAGCTCCTGGTTTCTGACTTCAGATCAACTACAGATGTTGCAGCCACTTGGGGAGTAAACCAGCACAAGGAAGATCTTTTTTTTTTTTTCTCTCTGTCTCTCCTTCTCTCTATAAATCTTACTTTCCAATGAAAATGAATACATTTTAAAGAAACAAACAAAAAACAATTGGGCCTGGCGTGGTAGCCTAGTAGCTGAAGTTCTCGCCTTGCACGCACCAGGATCCCATAAGGGCACCAGTTTATGTCCCCACTTCCCACTCAGCTCTCTGCTTGAGGCCTGGGAACGCAGTCAAGGACAGCCCAAAACCTTGAGCCCCTGCACCCACAGAGGAGATCCAGAAGAGCTCCTGACACCTGGCTTCAGATCAATTCAGCTCTGGGTATGGCGGCCACTTGGGGAGTGAAAACAGACGCAAGATCTATCTCTGTCTCTCTTCCTTTTTGTACATCTGCTTTTTAAATAAAAATAAAATAATTCTTAAAGAAAAACAAATAAATATTTGGAAAAAAGACTTCAAAGACACAAAAGAAAATGTAAGGTAACATCAATGCAACACATGATGTTGCTTCACAAAAGGTAGATGAAGGCTGCATTTCATTGTGGAAATATGTAGTCTCTTGCCTGGGTCTATATTTTTAAGCCATTTGACTTCAATAAATATTAAAGTAGAAAATGTATACCAAGTATGTCATACCAAGTGGATCTGACAACTGCAAACCTTTACATGCTGAATCAGAGAAATGCAACCTTACACTACCATACCAGTTGGCAGTTCTTAAAAGCTGACTTTAAACCTGTTAACTCTGGCAGCCTGTCTTGTACATTTATAGCTAAGCACCTTCCTGAAGTCTGCTTCGTATGTGCATCTCCTATTACCACCACTGAGGCTAGCAACGAAACACACACAGCAAACTCCACTGCTGACTAAGCGCAGCGGTGGGCTCCACAAGACAGAACGCACAGTGAACAGGCAATCTGGAATACTGTGCCAGAGTTCTTCCAGGGTTGGCATGTCTGTACTAACACATATCCATGACATGACTCAACTTTCCCCCACCATCTTT